GGAATATAGTCGATAAATGCGACGTTTTAATGTCGAGCAAATGGAATAAGAAATTCTCTTGACATGACATGAAAATTCACCTCCTGGCAGCCGGCGCAGGGCGTGCCACGTCAGCAGCCAGACAGGCCGACTGGAGCTGACAGGTAAAAAGGGGAGATGATGGTTAGAAGGTGCTATTGTTTCATGGCTTTTTCTTGACCTGTCAGGTCTGGGCACAGAGGCCTGGATCCAGGACCTCCTTGACATGTGAAAACAGCCTTAAAAGGCCGTTATCCAGACTATGGTGATTGCTCTTGTTTAATTGATTTGCTTTGCGCCGAGGCCTGTCACATTAATAATGGTTAAGTACAGTCCCAGCGTGTCACACAGAGTGGTGGGAATTTAACAGCCTTAACTAACTGCTGTCTGTGAAGCGAGGGGAAACGTAGGATCATTTGAGATGCAGCACTTTTGGACCGAATCGCTGATATTTATGATATAAATGCTCCCTGTTGGAGCTGTATATTTTCTTCCTTTTACTGCTTCATACTGTTGGGAGCCTACTTTTATCTTTACAAATCTGCCTCACAATGACCTTTTCATCTGGCCCGTGTACGGCCACGCTATACTGTGTCCCCTTCTCATTATGAACTACCATCCGGAGGAAAACAGAGAGCTACACTGACAAGTAAATGGCACTGAATGAATGAGCCTAACATTACACTGCGCACCACTTCACAGGCGACTTTGGCAGTCTCTGATATTTCCACCGCTGACTGACAGTTTGAAATTGCTCCCATCACCTTGATAATGTAATGCACCTTGCATGTGGACGATCTTTAAAGTGCAGGAAATTAGACTCCCGAGTTGAGAGTCTCTTTTCAAGCAAATATGACAAGAAAATCGACTGCTTTTCTTGCGCGCCCACAGAAAGTGAAAGAGAAAAGGCCAAAAGCAGGTAGCGCAGATGAAAAGGTTACAGGAAAATGTGTCGTAAAGTATTATAGATATTGTGTGTTTAAAGACAGGGCGTTTCAGACGCTGGGTTGTCCAACCCGTTTCCCCCCCTGCCCTCCCGTTTGGTGTCAAGTTCTGAAGCGTTGACTTCATTTGCAAGAGCTCAACTCGGAGCTGACGCGAAAGAACTTACACTATCTCACCGGAAGTCAGATGACAGGAGCGCAGCGTGACAGAGTCATAAGAGATGAGCTGCAGCCAAGATCACCGCGGTGAAGGGTCTTTCTCACTTTGTCTTCCCAATTAGGTAAAGCTAGTCAGGAGCAGGAAGTAAAGCCCGTGGAGATTATATACTGTCGTCCACTTTCCATCAGGTGAGCCAGGATCCTGGCAGGCTGCAGTCATGCTGTAGAGAAGAGTTAAATGACTGCGTTAACTCCTCTGTACGTTGTGGCCCCATGCGTCCTGACAGCTGCCATATTAGTGGTGGAGAACTTCTAGAAGCTTGTCTCAGACTGTATGTAGAATGGAACAGGACTACTTTTTCATTTGGTTCATGTTTACGTTAATGATTAATTGTTGAAAACGATAGTAAAAATTAGTTTCCAGTATTATGAAGAACTTCTGTCGTGTGTCTAGCTGTCAACAGACTGTTTGGCTTCATAAATTATATAAACAAAATTGCCGATGACGAATTCTCTGACAATCCACTGATCGCCTAATTATTTAAATCCTCTCTCGTGCTCGCTCTCTGCAAGTGTTAATGAGCCAAGCAGACAGCCCAGACTTTGGATTTGTTAGCGTAAGTGCAACATTCACCACATCTGTACACAGACTCCTGAATCCTTACGCTGTGTTTACGGAGCCTGCAGGCTGGGGGTGAGACTGTACAGGTAGCTTGTTATGACAGAGGGAGCCCTGTGCAGGTCAGGATGAATGTCTGTGATGGGCAGATTATTCACACTAAAGTAGGCCTACAGAATGATCTTGTCACATTTCACAGGCAGGATTATGGGATACACAGGAGGAGTGTTTCAGTCAGGAATTAGCGTCATGCGGTTGGCTGGAGAGAAGCATGCAAGGTATTTGGCGAGACAGGCTTGGACACTTACTGCTCCATTTGTCTTCTCAGCGATCAAATACTGCAGTTGATGGTTGATTTTCCTGTCGCTTGTGGTTTATGTGAAATCCATTCATCTCCCAGAGTGTGATTTACACATATCAGAGCAGCCTTTGGTCATTGAGAACCGAGGTTATCCGGCTGGGTTTTCATCCGTGCCTTTAGTCACTCAACAACACGGCGCACCACGTACGACACGCTGCGTGTAACCCGTGCAACACCTGCTCCGCGTTTGTGGTTTTGCATTTTAAATGAAGAGGAGTGCGAGTGTCTCCGGGCTATCAGAATAAGTTATAACTGCGATGATTGAGGAGTGATGGAACGAGTGAGCGTAAAGACAAAGTAGTGACGATCTGACAAATGAAATCAAACTTCATAAGACCTGCCAGCAGTGTCAGTTGTTATCCATATCTCTAATGCATTATGGTACGGCAACGCGGCGCGCTGCCTCCTCATCTGTCGGCTCAAATTCATCACCTTCTTGACTGTTTCTTTTAAGTCACAAGTGTCAGTGTGAAGAGGGGTCCTAATTGACATGTGAGTGGCACAGATGTGGACTGCTGCCTTTATTTTGGTGCCAAGAAGGCTTGTGTTGTTTTGATGAGCTATTATTGGCAGAACCTTGTAGCAGATAGCAGTCGGCCTGAAAATGAGAAGTGACATCAGACAGAGATGAGCTTGTCATTGTCTCCTGGCGCCTTCAATCCAGCTTTAAGTTAGAAAAAACACGTTAAACTGTCACTCAAAAGATTTGGGTTTGATTTGCTGAAATTTTATTGGAAATTATTTCAAGGTTTTACAGTCATTTATTCTGAAAAGCCAAAACAGGTTGACATGAATTGGAGCAGACGATTCGTCCTGCCATTTTAGATCCATGCCTCCAGTGTTCATATGCTGCACTATAAATAAAGGAAAAGAAGAAAAACGGCTTCACT